AAGAAAGAGATAGAAAATAGTTTTATGGGATGAAATGAAACTCGTAAGATTCCGATCAAGCTCTATTGGTGTACACCTCCGCTTTATTGGTGCCGTACTCTTTTTTGTTTTGGCTCTACGGGTAGTCGCCGTGTTCGCTGGGCTAGCTGGCTGGCTGGCTGGGGCGGGGCCTCACAAAACACTGTTCATCTGAATCAGCCAGCAGTACTTCTCTCTCACATAAACGAACCAGCAATGATACGAACCAGCCAACTGAACAAGCTGAGTTTTATTGATGGATCTGAATCTGTTTTATAAAAATATTTAGTAAAACAGCTTATCACAGTAAGTAGATCTGGGAGAGGGAGCTAAGAGAAGAGTATTTTCAGCTCATCCAATGTCCACTCTTTATTAAACTGGATTTTAAATAATACCTCTGTCAAAAAAAAAGAATGCAACTATGTGTTGGGCGCCAGTTAAAGTGATTCATGTTTGATCAACTTTCTAGTGAATGTTATTCACATTTATGATTTCAAATCAATCTATTATGAAAATGCATTTCGTAACTAATCCAACGATATTTATTTGATATCATAAATATTGATACTTTTTTATCTATATTGGTCAAACTTAAGATAGTAAAATATGATACTGTGTTAGAATTACATCCTTTCTGGGACCGATGGAGTAGCTCCACTTAAGGAACTGTTTTTTACATGTTTAGCAAAAAGTAGCTCCTGAAGCTGTTAACCTTTGAGAGAGTGTGAGAGGCAATCATCTTTTCCACACATGTGGGGGTCTGATAACCTCTTCGCTAAAGAGCGTGCTCCAAGCACACTTCAAAATTATTGTGATAACTCAGGGTTCAATGTTTCACCGTGCACGCAAAAGATGCATTGCTGACGCACAATACTCATAGGACCAATTTCTCAGATAGTTTAATACATTTCTAGAGAAATTGTGGGTAGATAAGCAGTTGTAGAGAGCCAGAGGAGAGAGATGGAACAAAAGAAAATAAGAACACAACTTGAGAGCTCTGTGGCACAGCTCTGTTCCAGAAGCTACGGCTCTGTTCGGCAGGATTTATTGTTGTTGCGGCTGATTTATAGAGTTAATTTGTTATGAGAGAAAAATATTGTTCTATGACTCGGAAAAATAGGACTGATGGTGGCTTAAAGGCTCAAACGAACAGATGGACTTGGTGCCCTCCTTTTTCCTCGGTGGAGTTAGCGGCGAGCTCGCTGCCCTCCTTTTTCCTCGGTGGCTCCGTCGATCCTAGCCTCTCCATACAGATGGACTTGGTGCCTGCTTGCCCACCTCGCAGTAATGCATCGTTGCCTTCCTCCCTCTCCTCCAGGGACTATTTGGATCGTAGAGCGTGGCCAAGGCTGCATCAGGCTTGGTAAGATAATCCTCTTGACCTCTCTCTCAGGCTCATCCATCCCCTCCTAATTTATTTCGTGATTGGTTTTTTCATTCAGTTTCTTACATGCTTTTTTTATTCACCAAAACTTCCAAACACATGGCAATATTTGATTCATCGTATCTGTTGCTGCTCCACAGAAGGGAGTTCCAATTTCATGGTAGTTGTGTAGTGCTTCAACGATGCCATGTGCTCTCCTTCCATTCTTTCTTTTTTCCCCCTCAAATTAATTAGCTTCTTGGTGCTTTCCATCTGGTATGGTCCAAGGCTGGAGTGATGTTTCTTTTTCTTTGTTTCAGCACAAATTAGGATGGCAACAACTGTTCTTCCTGGATATGCCACATTGGCTATTAAAATCCCATGGTATTGTAGTCCTTATGATTGGCAATTTTCGCAATATTCTTCCATACCTCAATTACAACTGATGATAGGCAAAACTGATGCAGCTACATATACATTCATTGCCAAAATTAAGAAAAAAAAAAGATTCAAGCACATTCTTTATTGTTTTATTTAGCCAAAACAGATACATCAGCTAGTGACATTAGTCATAGAACCTGGAGCACAACAGCAGGGCTGTGCTTTTTTTCTAATTAAACCAATACAATCTGCAGGTATCAAACTTTGTTCTTGCCGCTAATCTGATGCCAACACTGCCAGTGGAGCCTCAAGTTGTCAAACTGGCTCTCTTTGGTCTAAAAGGAACAGAAATTTACCTGCTCCAGTCAAACTCTCATCTGTGTCGATGGTGCTCTCTGGATCATCGGAAAGGGTCCACATTACACATCATGTCGAAGGTACTGCAGTTGTCCCATAAATCTGCTACACTGCAGTTGTCCCATGAATCTGCTAAACAAGATTAATCATCTTTTGCTACATATCACAATTCTTGTGCCTGTTGTTACATATGTAGTTTTATTCCTACCTGCCTAGCCCCACGGATATTGCTTATGTAATTTTATGTTTACCAGCCCAGCCCGCCAGATGCAACATCCACCTTTACTGATAGCTGAACAAGGAGATGTTCAACGCAACACACAGGAGATGGTCATGTTTAGCCTGCAGCTGCACCAATCATCCTTAAACCTGTAATGTTAATACTTCACATCTATTCTATTGATCTATTGGCATCTCAGAGGTCAATTGCATATATTTACTAAACGCCTATAGCTGAACAAGGAGATTTTCAACACAACACACAGGAGATGGTCATGTTTAGCCTGCAGCTGCACCAATCATCCTTGAACCTATAATGTTAATACTTCACATCTATTCTATTGATCTATTGGCATCTCAGAGGTCAATTGCATATGTTTACTAAACGCCTATTACTTGATAGCACAAATCGATCTTCTATCACACTACCATCTACCAACATAGATGCTTCATGTATGTCAGTTGATGTTAATTCTCTTATTGAGCTTGAGTAATTGAACCTGAGGCTGAGCTAGCTTACTAGGTTGAGACTGAAACTGCTTTGTCTCCATTGGTATCTGCAACAAGTTCTTTCAAAATATAATGCTGCATCATCTTGATTATAAGATATGGGGTTTACATACTATTTAGATACTGTTTCTTTTGGTTGTGTTTTTGGCTAACATGCTAGCACTTTATATGGCAGTATCTAAATTCTACCATTCGATGGTATATGATTATTATAGGTTCAGCCTATACTTTTTTCAAGCAAAAGCATACTATCGATTGGCAGTAGCCGAACCTTGATATCAGCTGCTTAAAGAAGTACCTAGACTACTGCCATTTACGACATAAAAAATATGTTCATATTATTAGTCAGACATGGTTTAGGCCTTTGGGCAACCAAATAACCTGACACTAGGACAATGGCTAGGGTCCAAACAATCCTCATCTTCACTGAGCTGCTGTGCAGCGCGTATTTTCTCAAAGAACTCCCCACCAGCACCCTATCCCTTGACAGCAGTGAAATGTGTGGTGTTAAAAACAAACGTGTTAATGATTGATTCACATAACAAAGTATGAGCTTTGCGCTGCAATCTGGTCTTGAGATAGTAAATCGTTCATTCTTTTTCAGCGATTCGGCAAGCTAGAGTCATACTTTGGGATAAACTACGGATGCCTCTAAAGCTACTCTGGTGACTAGGAGTCTAGAACACCAGTTCAGAGATACCTTTGCACAGATACTCCCTGATACCTATCAGCTGGGACCACGAGGGACATGGGTTCATCAACTATGGTTAGGTATGTTAATTTTTTTTTTGAGATCGAGCAATGGAACCATTCCAATATCTATTGGCTATTATTTTCTTATTATAGTGTTCATATCTTTGTCATGTTAATTGGTACCATTTTGCCTTCTATGGTACATACTGGCATATTTGTAGTTCCTATTTTATGTATGTACCTTTATTGATTGGTTTTCTCATAGATCTTATACTGTTTTGATAATTGTTGGTGGGCCTGTGTTGATGCCATGTTTGTTTTTGCTTTCCTCTTGGTTGACTCATTTTTCTGTTCTGAATTACATTTTTTCCTTCCATGGCCGAAGACCTTCAATGAGATAATCTCAAAACTCTGGGATCCACCTGAGTCCTTGCTTAGTCTCATGAATTCCTTTTGTTTATACTCAAATGTAGTTTGATATCATTTCCTAAAGTTTGAAGTCTACATGTGGTGCATGCTTCAGATCAGAACAAAATGTTTTGTTACCATGGCGGCAATCATTCATCCTTTGCGATAAACAATTTTTGTGATATGAATTTTTCATTCATACTACTCTTGCTAATTTAGGGATACTGGAATCATCTTTTCATCCGTGTAGGAAAAAATAATCGTTGCTCCTATGGTGTTTGCAGGGTGCATGGAGGTGGCCGGCATGCACATGGACTCCAAAGCATAGTTGCATACTGTAAAGTAGAAGTAGAATATGGTTTCTATTTTTTTTATGTATCTATCAGACATCTTTGTTTTTGAAAAAAATACATACATGACACTAAAGCATCCAATTTGTTATTAACAAAGCACACGCTGTATTTTCTTTCCTATGATCAATTGCTATACACAATACTGCCCGACCTAAGTTCAATACTTTCAGTTCAGTCCAAATATATTGTGATCGCAACTGCAGTCCTACGGGCGCGGCGAAGCGCGCCTCCCGACCTAGTTTAATACATTTCTAGAGAAATTGTGGGTAGATAAGCAGTTGTAGAGAGCCGAGAAGGAGAGAGATGGAACAAAAGAAAATAAGAACACAACTTGAGAGCTCTGTGACACAGCTCTGTTACAGAAGCTACGGCTCTGTTTGGCAGGACTTATTGTTGCTACGGCTGATTTGTAGGGCTGATTTGCCGTGAGAGAAAAATATTGTTCCATGACTGAAAAAATATGACTAATCATGGCGTATAAGCTTAAGACTTATTGTTGCTACGGCTGATTTGTAGGGCTGATTTGCCGTGAGAGAAAAATATTGTTACATGACTGGAAAAATATGACTAATCATGGCTTATAAGCTTAAGCGAACACCAACAAACTAATTCAGTAGGCAGCCTCATTTTTAGGCTGTTCATCATCCCAACCAGTAAAGCCTCGCCGTTTCAGCACACGCGCGCACGCAGCCGGCCGCCTACACCTGGCTGGTGACGATCTTGCTGTCGCCGACGACGGTGTCGGCGGCCGCCTTTTTGGTCGTGGCGTCGGCCAGCTCCACGGCAGCGGCCACCTTCTTCGCGTCCTCCACGTCCGCAGCAGCAGCGGCCTCTCCCTTGCCGGCCGGCGCGGCGGGGCCCTTGTTTTTCCGGTAGATGAAGTACAGGATGAGCTGCACCAGGCCCAGGAAGCTGCCGCATCCGTTCGGGATCTGCACGCACAGACAGTGGCTGCGTTAGTAACGGGCATATTTGGACTACATGAAACTGACATGATATCGCGATGAGAGATTGGAAATATTGGCGTAGATATTTCATTTCATCGTAGTTTGTCGCCTTGGTGTACTGAAGTGCAGTTTGTTTGTTCGCTAGCATTACGACAAGGAAGAGGGCGCGGCGCTGTTCCCCTGTCTGGTCCAATAATCCTGCGTGCACAGGGGCACGGTGGCCGCGGTCCATCGGCAGCGCCGGTGTGCCGCTGTGCCTGCGCTGCCTCTGCCTGTGGGTGGTCACGCCCACGCTGCTGGCGCCCATGCCCGTGCATCGGCAGCGGCAGGCATGTGCGCCTGGTTGGGCAGGACACCGAAAGGGCAACCGACGCCGGCCCGGGGTACTGTACTGGTCAGAGGCGTTCAATGGCAACAGCTAGCGGTGCAGTATAGTACTGCAGCAGTCGTTTCCAAGTACCCATCGGACGACAGGCGCGCAGCACGTGCGTACGGCCGGCAGCGGATAGGATAGCATCCTCGCCCTCGTCATCGTCAGAGTGCTCAAAGACGGGAGTGTGCAGCTCAGGATCAGAGAGGGAGAGAAGCCTACGTACAATGATGAAGGGGTCGCGGCCGAGGAGGCCGTAGATGAACCAGGAGGTGCCGCACAGGAACACGGCCAGGGAGAGCAGGAACGGCATGAACTCCACGCTCTTCGTCTTGATCACCAACCTCTGCACACACCAAGCACATGCTTGTTAATTAACTGATGTCGTGGATATCAAGGACGCCCGGCCGCAAGCTAGCATCGATCGTTGCTTACCATGATGGAGAGCGGCGATGCGTACATGCAGATGGAGAAGATGGTGGCGGCGAGGCCGCAGAAGACCTTGCGGGCGTTGCCATGGAGGGCCAGCAGCGAGACGAGCACCACGGTGGTGAAGATGGAGGCGACGATGCTGAGCAGGCCCAGCATGCGGAGCCTGGCCCGCCGGTCCACCGCGAAGATGAGGAAGATCACCACGTAGATGGCCTCGATCACCGACCCCGTCCCGTTGATCGTCGACACCAGGATGTTGTTCGGGGACACGAACGGCAGGCCGTACCTGTATGCATATAAATCTCACACAAATTAACTAAACTAAATTCAGACGAATGCATGATGATTGATGACCTAGCACATCGATCTTCACATGCATGCAAGGGTGCGCGAAAATCAAACGGGACGCCTTGAATTTTCTTGCCCAACCAAATCATCCATCATCATCATAACCAGAATCATCCATCATCATCATAACCAAAAAGAAAAAGCATGAAAACTATTTGTTTGGGGCTACAATATAAACACTTGAACGTGAAGCTGCATGTGCGACCACAAGGGACGCGAGGCCCACATGTCATCTCCACCCTGGCAATGCCGACAGGCTGCTCCCACGGGCTGTGGACTGTGGTGCAGACTTGCAGTGCAATAAAACCTTTTTCCCTTTCATTGTAGTCGTTGTCACAGTGCTGGCGAGTGGGTCCACGGGTAGCACTCTACCATTCTATCACTCTATCCAGAGGACGGGTTGGCTAGAGGATACGCTAAGAGCCAAGTGTTTGCTTCATCCAGGCCAGCAAACCATGCAGCATTTCTGAAATGTAAAACTATACTACACGCCGGTTTTACTGGTTTACAGCCACTGCATAATATATATCATGTCACAAGAATACAAAAGTATACAGTGTCTACCGTATACTAATTATCTGGCCATTCTACCATTCTTTGCAGTGTCATAATATATATCATGTCACAAGAACCCGCTGAAGAATATCTAGACCCTCTAATTAATCTAATCTGCGAGTTAATTTACTGAGGAAACAGAAATGATGTGAAGTGCTCATCGAAAGGTCGTGTCTCTTGAGACTGAGAGCAGTTAGTTACCAAGCTGATAGGAGGCAGTTGAGCAGCGTCATGTTGTAGGGCACGCCGGAGAAGTCCTCCGTCGACCGCTTCCTGATGATCCTCCAGAAGGTGACACTGCAAAGAATTCGCCAGATTTTCTCACCCGTCAGAGGAGGCACTACAAACATGCGCCGTGCTGTGATGCCCCTGACGGCCGAGGCAGAGGAGGCAAGAAAAAGGTGCGGCATGGCTATGAAGAAGAAGAAGCATTCCGGATGGAGAAAAGAAGCTTGTTTTTTTTTTAAAAGAAAAACGAAATTCAGAGTTTCACTAGAAAGGATTGAACCTAAAAGATGCTAGTAAAACCTTTCTCTCCCCACTCATTCTCCCTTGTTAGTCTTTGTCATAAAGGAGTAGTAAGTACTATATAGCTTCTCTGCTTTCATTTTTTTACGCATGGACAAGGACAGTGAGAAACAGAAGGATTCAGGTACATGGAATCAAAACTTACACAGGCGACAGGAAGAGGAAGAGCGCAATGACATTCCCTAGCAAACAGATCCAATAGAGATTAGACGACGAACCCACTAAACCACAGCTCAGATACGTGCAGTATTATACAAGAACAAGAGAAGACCATCATCAGCTAGAGGCAGCAATGGCATGATGACACTGACCAGAAACTCCGAAGAAAAACCTGGCGATATGCTCCATCTCGGATTACGGCCCTTCAACTTCTGCTTTGCTTATCGCTGGCCTGAACGGACCCTCCTCTCGGCTGCTGGGCTCAAACCTAAATGGAGCAGAGGTGGAAAAGAGAGGGGGTAGTGGACTGGATTCCTTCCCGGTCCAGGTGAGGACACCCAACGAACAGTTAGGCCCCGTTTAGATGTCCCCAAAACCCAAAATTTTTTGCACAGTACCTATCATATCGAATCTTGCGGCACATGCATGGAGTACTAAATGTAGATGAAAAAAAAACTAATTACACAGTTAGCCGAGAAATCGTGAGACAAATCTTTTAAGCCTAAATAGTCCATAATTGGACAATTTTTGTCAAATATAAACGAAAGTGCTACAGTAGCCAAAAGCCAAAAGTTTTCGGAACTAAACACGCCCTTAAGCTAGCTATGAAAGACTGGTGGGCGCGCAGTAGCCAACGCAAATCCGGTGTGTTTGTGCCCGTGTCACTCGGTGCAGCAGGAAATGAGCGGTGTGGCGTATATATAAAGAGCAGACTGCATAGGAAGGTTGATCTTGGGTGGTAGAGGTAGGACCGACCGTAGGAGAAGAGGCCAAATACGTACGTAGATGGTGTCTGTATGAGAGTTTAAAGTTTGGAGGGAAGCCCATACGTTCTTATCTTCCTTATTAGTCAATTTAGTGAGGAGTCAAAGTGCCTGAAAACCGTCATTTGTCTGTGGTAAATACGTACGTAAGATAGACAAGCTACACACGCAGCTTCCTGTACTGTACGGCAACATGGAGAAGCATGCGTTATGCGTACGTGTCTCTGCAACACTCGTGCGTCGTCCTACCCTGATGATGATGGCTTGGCACGCAACGGAACGGAAATCTTGTTAAGTTGCTAAACAGGAGCAGGAGCGTACACTTCTGCAGCACCAACGGCCAAATCCTCGGAGTGGAATGGCAGCAGAATTCGCGTTTCTGCTGCGGCCTGCGGCCCCGCCATGTGGCTACGGGCTACCCTACCCGGCCTCACGGGACAAACAGATCCCCATGGGCCATGGCCAACTGACCGCTGACGAAATGGGGATCCTGCCGAGCACGTACGGCGTACCGTTCACGGGAGGATCCTCGTTACGCGGTCATGCGATCGGTGGCGAGCGTTACGTGGCACCGTTCGGCGGCGGAGGACCCGGAGCAGCGAGCGCGACGGTGGCCACGGAGGGTGGAGCCGCGTGGCTGGAGGCAGGCAACACGGCGTTCCGCGCGAGAAGGCGACGACGACAAGGGTCGCCGCCGGCGCAATTCACGGTTATCCCGTCCGCGTCCGAGCGTTTTATTTGCCGATCCAATCGAATCCCCTGGTCGCAGCGCGGCGGGTGGGCGGCCGGCGCGTGTCCTCCTCCGATCCGTCCGGTCCTCCCTAACCCTCCCGGCAAGTCGTCAACAAGGTGTGCCCCGCACGCTACTGCAATCCAAACCTGGCGTGTCAAGGCGTCGACAACAATGCAGGGCCGCGCGTTCCACCCTATCACTCCGGGGAGCTCAAGCTCCCCTGTGTAGTGCAACAAGAGCGGCGGTGCACCGTGCACTGGTCTCGGACGGTGGACGGGTGGAGGGCTACTGTCTGCTGTGCTCAGGGTCAGGTCAGGCATGCATGTGAGCGCAGACAGAGGAAGACGCAGAAAAGAGGTCACTCGTCACCTTGCATCTGCCATCCCCTGCACTGCGTGCGTATGCGTATATCCCTACCATACCATGACCCATGCCAGCGCTCTGGCTCGCCCTCGCCTTGGCAAAAGTGGCCGGGCATGGTGACGCATCTGTTGTGCCCGCCTGCGTGCCCACAGAACATATGCGTTCCACAAGGAAGGTGGTGTGCCCTGCCCCTGTCGCGGCCGTGCCTGATGCCTGCCTGCCTGCTCCTAGTAGCCCCCTCCTACACACACCCAAAGACAGTTCTGTGTGCTCCTCACCAAACTACTTCTGGAGGGAAGAAGAAGAAGAAGAAGAAACGACTCACACCACTGCATACACACCTGTGTTGCTTGCCTTGAAAAGATAACGATCACAGAAGTTCAGGGCACCAATTGAGGGCACGGTAGCACATCCACATCTGTGAGCTGTGATCAGTAGCCATCCATCAGCTTTGTTTGTTTTATCTTCATTTGTCTTTGGCGCGATGTCCAGGCGGTACAATGCATCACTAGGAGTTGGTCCAAAGCTGCTACTGCACGCAATCGCATTCGGAGAAGCCAATCAGCATCCTTCATGTACCGGATGAAGCCCTTCATCAACGGCTAAGTGGAATTTGGCTACCGAAATGATTTGCCCCTTTCGTGTGCAGCGCAGCTAGAACGATAAGTGACGCCGGTACATGCATTGCTTGTGGCCCTGGACAAAGCAAGAGAGGCCAGTCCATCTGATGGCGCTCTGCGTTGGCTGCATACAGCGAAACCAGCAGTGACACGGATCGGACGGCGACGACGGTGTGTGTGTGTGTGCATCAGTGCATACACGGCGGGATGGCTGGTCGCTGGATATGTATCAGAATTCAGAAATTCAGAATTCAGACATCACGTATGCGCTGCCGTATTGGCAAATTGTTGCCCGCCAACCCAATGATTCGACGTCTTATCCTCCATCCACATGCGATGCGCAAAAGCTTGCAGGCCCAGATGGATAGATAGCCTTTCGGTTTGGCTCTCTCCGTGTATATATATGCGTTTTGATTGATGCATAAAGGTCGTGTGATGTAGTTCAGCATATCTTTCAGCACTTTATTCCCCCTGATAAACAAGCCGCGCTCTGAAAAGAAATTGCCTTTTGTTGGAGCAGATATTTCTTTCATGGATAATGTGATTGCCTAATACTGTAGTCTGTAGTCCTCGCTGTGCCTTTAATTTGTTGGCTAACATTTGACAAGATGCTCCCTGCTTCGCTTGACAGTATATACGTCCTTTCAAGAAAAGAAATCAAATAAACATCATTTAGGACAAATGACGTAGCTGCTTGTCCCAAATGCTATTTATTTAAAAACAAAGCGAGTAATTTCGCAAAAAAAAAAAAAGGGAGTAAATAGTACTCCCTCCGACCCTAGATAAATTAACGTATAGGGTTGTCTTAAGTCAGACTTTTCATGTTTAACTAGATTTATATAGAACAAAAACTATGACACCAATAAGCATAATATGAAAATACAGCTCAGGGAATAAAAAGTTTTTTATATTGCTATAAGTTGTACCAGCACTACTGTGTCCTGTCGTACATAAATTAATTTCTAGAGTTGTGCCGATACAGAAAGTGACCAACTAGTGAATATTTGTAGTTTTGCTGTACGTTGTGATCGGAGGTGGCCTAGCACTCAATGACATAGGATTTATACTGGTTCAGGCAACGTGCCCTACGTCCAGTTTGGGTCGGTTGGTGACTTTATTCCCGAGCCCAGGTGCTCGAAGTCTGCAGTGGGGTTACAAACGACAGGGAAAGAGATGGGGGTACCAGAGGCCCGGTTGGCTCCGGTCGGAAGGGCCGAGAGCGACGGGAACTCCGCTACGAGCTAAGTGTTCAAGCGTGTGCTTGAGGTCCGAACCTACCGATTCTGTGGTTGTAAGCTATTGGACTAATGAATCTTAAGGAACTGAGCTTGAATGAATCGGCCCCCCTGTTGGAGGGAGTGCATCCCTTTTTATAGATGAAGGGGATGGCTTTACAGGTGAGAGGGAGAGGGTACAGATGCTTTTAAGCCTTGTTGCCCACGCCGATGAGGATTGGATAATGATGGGCGCCCACAACACTGTTGATGTCACTGTAGAATGTCAGGTGCACGTGGGAGGTTGTGTTGTCTTCTTCAGGAAGGGTTGACGTCGGTACCTGCAAAATACTGCTTGCCCAGAGGCAAGTGAGGAGCCTCACCATGTTTACTGAGCATGGTGAATCCCGGCGCCTACAACACTATTGATGCCCAGAGGCATGTGCGGGACTTTTTGCCATACGGGAGTCCAACGGCGCCTACAATACTGTAGGGATAAATGTCGGCGCCTACAATACTGTTTGTGTCAGGTGGTTGTGGAGCACTTTTCCCGCAGGTGTACAGGGTATGGTTCCTGTACCATGGTTTGACTCGCGTGCTGCCTTTTCCGTTCGTCCCTGGTCCCTTCCGAGCGGGCGTCCCCGGTCGGATGGCCCCAGTCGGCTTCGGTTGCGCCGATCGGAGAAGAGCGACGAGCAGAGTTCTTACGTACCCCGGTCGGAGAGACGTGGGGTCGGAGTCGGAGTAGGGCTCGGGGTAGGCCTTCCGATCGGAGAGGCCGTCCGGAGGCGGCTGGAGCCCGAATCGAGCGCTCCAGTCGGATAGGTGGGCCAAAGTAGCTGACGAGCGGGCGTTGCTCTTCTTGGGCCAGGCCTTCCGGTCGGTTGCTGGACCGCCCCTTTGCCCTGTTGTTTTTTACTCTCGGGTCGAGCCTTGACGTGGAAGCTGGTCCCCGAGAGACCCCGGGTTTATGAACCCGACAAGTTGTATCAACACTATGCATGCACGTGCTTCGTACGTGCATTTGTG